TATATATATATATATATATATACGTAAAAAGATAATTTAAGTTAGATAAAGATAATGAAAATTTATTAAACAGTGGTTAAAACTGGCTTTATTGATAATATATGATTAAATTTAATCTCAATTTGGTTTAGCCTTCAGCGGCAATGTGAAAAAATTGGATGTGTACTCGCATAACGACGTTTTACTTTTTTTTAATGCTTTGGCGGACACGTTTTTCGGCATATATATTTCTCTATTATATTTATTGACTTATGGAGTGGTTTCAAATTATGTGTATACAGATACATTTTATTTGTTAAGTTTTTGATGGATAAGCATGAGGATGCGAAAGTTACGTAAGGATGTTGATATATGTTTGCGGGATAAGGATAAAGTGAATGGTCTTTCCTCCATTTGCTCATTCTTATACGACTACGTCATACATACATAAGATAACATAGGAAATGTACCAAAACTTGCAGCTTTCATTTTTCATAGTGAATGTTTTTATGTATACATTTTAATACCTTTAATAGGATAATTTTAGAGCATATTTTATATCTTAATATGTTGTTATATATTGTATAAAAAATAATTATGAATCGTTTATGCATCTTTAAAAAAACTGATTAGTAATTTTATTATTCTATATATTTTCTTTAACCTACCTCCTACAGGTTTGCCTTATATTTTCCACACTAGTAGTACTTCCTTGTCATTTTCAACTACATATATCTACCACATTTTGTGTACGTAAGCCTACTCAACCTTCAGATGTAAAAAAATATTTGAACTTTTTGAATTTGTTTTGACTAAAAGTAAAACGACTAGCTTGCTGGTTCACCACTTTTTGTGAGTGACAGTAAAGTTGATACAAGCAAAAGAACAATTAAAATAAATGAAGAACCAGTATTCAAAATGAAATAATTTTTGGTGACTTAATTAAAAATGATAGTAATTACAGTTTACATCATTTGTTTCACGCTAATAACAGTCTTTGTTCATGAAAAGTGATATTTAGATATATGTATATATATATATATATAACGCCTAGACCACACACTCGTGTCCCAGGCAGCCTGATAAACCCTGGTGTTGGGCAAAAGGCATTGAGGGCAGTGAATATGACAGATCTAGTATGGTTGGCATATTATAATATATTATTCTTTCGTTTGACTCATGGATTGTTTTAAGATAAATATCCAGTTTTATACAAGTATTTTTCAAAATTTTAATCCATCTATACGACTTTATTAAAAATCATGCTTTCCGTTGTAAACATTTTGCTGGTACATAAATGTATTAAATATTTATTAAGTAGACAAGTCTTTTATTATTGCCAGAGACCTTACATTCGTTTATAATTTATTCATAACTTATATATGGCTGAAAAAAAAAATATATATATATATAGCAACGTTTACAAAATCACGTTCCTCATAAACTTCAATATTTATAATTGAATAATTCAACTTAGACGGCCCCCCAGTGGCACAGGGGTATGTATGCGGACTTAAAACGCCAGAAACCTGGTTTCGATACCCGTGGTGGGCAGAGCACAGATAGCCCTTTGTGTAGCTTTGTGCTTAATAACAAACAAACAACTTAGACGTTTATTTTTTACTTGTTTGTGATTTTTTTTTTATCAGATATACCTCTTGCTGAAAACGAAAAGTGGCGTACGTATGGAAAGAAGGCCGAGAATGGCTAAGTGATTAGCGTGCCACTCTGTGAGTTCAAGGTCTATGATTCGCGTCCCGTTGCCACAAAATTGCGCGCTGCACTTTGGTGCCGTGGTGCATTGTAAGTGTAACAGTCAAAACTCACTTCGATAATAGGGTAGACCAGAGTTGGTGGTGGGTGCTATTGCCTAACTGTATTCCCTTGAGTTTCTCAGTTTAAAATTAGGGCCGACTAGGGCAGATTACCTTTTAAATAGGTTTCGATAATATTCGAAACAAACAAGTGTACAAACAGTCTCTATTAGCTTGTTTGTATTACGCCTTAGTTACGGGTAGTATTTTGTTGTTGTTAAGCGCAAACCTACACAACGGGTATCGAAGTTCGATTTTTAGCGTTAAAAGCCCATAGACTTAACGCTGAGCCACGGGGGGGCTATAGGTAGTATACCTTATTTTGAGATGAAAACTAATGAAATAACTTTCATGAATAATTAAAAATATTAATAGAGATTATTTTTAAATAATACAACACCAACATCGTGTATAAGTATAATTTACACCCAATAAATAGTTTTTTATAAACAGTTCTACTGCTTAGTATACGCTTGATTTTGGAAATTCTGTAATTAAGAAAAATCATAGTAAACTCCTGAGATGAATACGAAACACTTCCATTGTTTGTTTTTTAGCGGCTCATAGAATGGCTCTGAGTGTTTTTTGTTGTTGTTTTTTAGTTACAGATATTTAGCTCATAGCTCCGTCATATCTCGACCGATTTGAGATATAATTACAGTTTTGAACTGAGGAGGATAGACCCTTTCGATTGATGTATTTTACCTCGCCCAAAGGTCTCATAGATTAATTTACTCTAATCCTGTCTAAAAGAATGTCAGTTTGAGGGTGGGTTGGTAGAAATGCTTATGAGTAATAAAATTGAATCGGGTAAACGCGTGCCCCACGCTTGTTTTTCAGGTACAAACTTTTAACTCATCTCTTGACCGATTTGATATATAATTACAGCCGCGGCTATTGAGGATTCCATCTTGTTTAATTTAATAGTCAACCACTCACACAATATAATCTGCATACTATAAAAACTTTTAAGTGTCCAAGTCTTTGTTAACTAATGTATAAATTTAGTATTTTAAACTATTGAAAATCAAAGAAGGCAAAGTATACAATGTACTGTAAGATCTCATATGCATTAAAAATTATTATAAAAAATGGCATGGTTATACCACAAAGCATCTTTTAACTCGGACGTTACGTTCTAACTTTAGTGAACTATAATGAAAACCGACGCTGGTGGTTGCGGGCGGGGGGGGGGGGGGGG